CCGGTCCCCAGCACTCGCTGGCCCCTCAGACTTACCCTGTCACAACAGGCGCCATCTTCCACAAACTCTCGCCAAAACTCCAACCCTCGCGAGATTCCCCCCGCCGACTTTCCCCGCTCCGCGCCCCCGCCCCTCCCCGAGGCCGCGCCGAGCGCTGCCACCCGGCCCCCGCGCCGCTTTCCCCCGCTCCGCCGCCGCCGCCGGGAGCCAGCCACCTCGCGCCGCCCGCGGACTGAGGGGAGCCTGGTCGCCGCCTTCCCTGGAAACCTACCCCGGCGTCGGAGCATGCGCACGCCGCGCCTCCGCGGGCAAGCCCTCCGTGTGGGCCATGGGGCGCGCTCCGCTTATCCGGGTTTTGGGACGCGCCCTCGGGGACGGACGTGGAGACTGAGCGAAACCGGAGGGGGTTACTACGGGGACGAGGGCTGGAGGGGCCGGGAGGCGGGGCCCGGGGGCCGGGAGGAGGGGTCCTGGGAAACGGGAGCGTGCCACAGGCCCGGACGAGACGCCTCCTCGGGTGGGTGTTCTCCGAGCGGCTTCCCGCCCGCCGCGCGTTCCCAGCCCTCTTCATTCATCAGGTGCCGGGGCGGCGGGGCCCCGCCGCAGAGCCGGCCCCCGCGCCCTGCCCGCGGCCGTCCCCATTCATTTGCCGCGGCGCTGCCCACGCACGTGGTGGGGCGGGCATGGCGACAGCGCGGCCTGCCCCTCCCCGGGGCTCTGCGGACGGACAGCTCCGGGGATGAAGCTGCGGGGCTTTGGCAGCGTCGCCCCCGGGCGACAGGAGGTCAGCGCGAGGTCAGCCTCCGCGAAGGCGCCCCCGAGGTGTCAACCTCTGCTCCGCACGTCAGAGCTCCGAAAGGTGCCCCCAGAGCCCACGCTCCAGGCCCAGGCGCTCGCGAGCAGCTCCACGGAGGCCGGTCGCCCGCGGCGACGCCGGGCCGCCCAGCCAGGTGCAGCCCCCGCCCCGCCCCGCGCCGCCCTACCTGCCCGCCTCCCCGCCCCTCCCGGCCCTTTCCTAGAGATTCCCAGCTCCTGCTCGGCCTCCCGCAGGGAGCCGCAAAACCCGGACAACTGGACTGCAGCGCCCCGACCCCGCTCCGAGGCGCCGCGGGATGGGATCGGCGCGGCGGGCGGGCGCGCGCGCCACCGCGCATGTGCGCACTGCGGGCAGCCGGGTCTCACGCTCCACCTCCCTCCGACCGCCTTCCACCGCTCGGCTCAGACACAACACGGGCCGTGGGAAATTTCCCAAGCCTCGCGAGAGCGCGCGCCCCTCCGCCCCCTCCCAGCCCCGGGCGGCCGGGCGTGCGCCCCGAGTCTCGCCCAGCGGGGCCCCGGCAGGTGCTCGTCTCGTGCGGCTCCCGGCGCGCGTGCCCGGGCGCGGACGGCGGGGTCGGGCCAGCCCGCGAGGCGGGGCGGTGGGCGCGTGGCGGGGCGCGGCGGGCGGAGGCCGCCCTGGCACACTCACGCACGCGCCGGGCAGGCTTCCTGTCGCCCTCCCGAGCCCGGGACTTTCCTGAAATGTGCCAGACGCGGTGCCCCCCGCCTCCGGGAGCTGACAGACAGCCCCCGTGTCGGCTTTTTGAGTCATGCTTCTGAGTCACCTAGTCTGGCCTCCACTTGCTTTACGACGAGTTTGGATTCTCTTAACTACTCTAGCAATTGGGTGGATTTTCTTTCAGTGTCTTCACTGGCCTTGTGAGCCAAGGCTGCGAGAAAGCTGAGCTCGGCGCTCTCCCTTGTTTACACTTGAGTTCCAAGGACACGATTTAAATATTTTTCCCCCTAGTCTGTTCCTAACATTCACTTTGTTTGGGGTGGGAGTGGAGGGGTCGAGGCAGGGTTTCTCTGTGTAGCCTTGAATGTCCTGGACTCCCTTTGTAGACCAGGCCTTGAACTCAGATCTCACAGAGATCCTCCTACCTCTGCCTCTCTGAGTGCTGGGATCACAGGTGCGTGCCACCGTGCCAGACTAGTTCTAACTTTCAAAGAAAACTCTGCATACCAGTTTGTCCCCCACCCCACCCCCCATATGACTTCAAAATGCCGAGTTTGTTTCCTTCCTCTGATTTTGTAGTAAGCATCCCATTTTAGGTACTGTTTCGTCAGGTACGTTAGTGGCCGCTGTTTTCCACACACCCTATCTTTTGGCAGTATTTATTTGCCCAAGAGATGTCAGAACATTCGTCAGCCACTTTTCAGATTGGCTCTGGGATGGCATTGCGTAGAACTAGTATCTTGCCAGCATCATAGACCCACAAATGTAGACATGAACTGGGTTTTGACATTTAAAGGTCAGTGAGCCCCCTAATAGCTAATGTCTCCTAGTTATGCTCTAAACAGAATTTCACGCTTTTCTGTTGTGAAGGTTTGTAAGGGTATTCATGTGGTTTTGCCTATTGCTTTTTTTAACCTCACATTAAAAGGTTTAATACTCTGTCAAAACAAGTCTCATCCAGACCAGGAGAGTGCTGCAGAAGAAAAATGTCCTCAGAACCGTCATCCCAAGGGTTTTCAGACAGTGTAGTCAGTGACACTAATGTTGGACCGATGGCCATGAGACCTTGGAAAGCCCTGTTAGTCATAAATCTGATCTCAACTCATCAGCTCCGCCTACAGTGTTTTCTCTTCTCAATAAACGAAACTCCTTTGCTCTCTCGCTTTACAAGAGGACCTTGCAATTACTTTGCTTCTTTTATATCAGTCACTCAGGATTAAACCAGTGAGGAAAAAGCATGCTAGTTATAACTATTAGTCTATTTTCTAATCGGTAATGTGGAAGGAAGGGAAGTTAATACTGACCCCAGCTCCAGAGCATTCAGGAGCCAATGGTGCTAACATGCTTGGCTGTGGCAAGTCCTCCTTAGCAGATGGTGACACATTCACAGAAGTATGTGCTCACAGAAGAGGTCACATAGACTGAAAGACTGGAAACCAGAGACAGAGCAGGAGCCAGGTTTATTCTTTCTACAATGACTTTTTTTAAGGTCAAGTTACCTTTTTTGTATGTGTGGGTATGCACAGGCATACATGTGGAGGTCAGAGGACAACTTGCTAGGTTCATTCTCTCCTGTGTGGGTTGCAGGAACCAATCTTGGTTGTCAGACTTGATGCCTTAATTACCTGCCACTGGGCCCAACTTCTTGAAAGTTCAGCTGCTTCTCACAAAGCTACTTTGGGACCAAGATGACATGAACTTGGGGTCACAGGTGAACTATGTTCAAACCATAGTACTGTTCCTACAAAGATGACCTAGATCCTAACCTTCTCTACTTCCTCAGCTACTACTTTAGTCTAGCCGTCTGTTTCCCCACCTGTTTTATAGGCGGTCTCCTAAGTGGTCCTCCTTTCCTCCATGATTGCTTCCCCCTCTGTGTCTTCTCAGGGGACCATTCCTCATCATCCTCTAAGAGCCGGTGGTTTCTCCATTTCACTATGAGAATTTAGCACTTGGCTTGCTGCCAAACTCTCCTGACCCCTCTGACTCCAGCAATTCCTCCCCTTCCTTTACGTGAAGCTCTAGCCTGCTACCCTCCTTGAAGCTCAGGGGGTACATTAAGCACTCTCAGCTCCAAGTCCGTGCCCCTTCCATGACCTGCAGTGCTCTCCCCTCACATACATAGGAGGAAGGCAGACTCTTTTGAAGCCTTTAGGTAAATGTAGCCTGGCCCCTTCAGGCCATGCGTCACTAGAGTGACCCCCATGCCGCTTTCTTCCTATATTCTTTGTTTTTCTGAAGACATCACAATCTAACGCCCCATCAGTGACACTCGGCGTGTTGTTTACTCGGCGTGTTATTATGACGGCTGTTGGAAACAAGGGCTTTCATCTCTCTTATTCATTCTCCCAGCTCAGTTCCTGGAACATTGCCTGATGTGAGGTAGGCACTCATTGCTTGAAGGGGAGATGTGGAGTCTCTCACATTAGGACAGAGTAGAGATGATTTTAAAAGATGGAAGGAAGATGACTTGAAAGGAAGGGATGGAACCTATTTAGAGTTAGACTTATAAATGAGATCCTACTTTTAAGAGTTTTCCAGCTCTCCATGTGAGCCCCTCAGGAAAGAAAATTTCTTTAAAGAAATATTTCCATGGGTGGTTTGTAGGATTAAAAATACAGTCACTGTGGAAATTGTGTGAATTTGTCTCTGAGTGTTAATCACACAACTCAGTGTGCTACAAGTATACTAACCTATTTGTTAAGTTTCCTGTATATTTCAACACTTCTGATGATCAATGAAAATACTGGGAACCTCCTGCATACTATTAAGAAATTTTCTTACTTGTTTTCTCTGTATGTGTGTCTGAATGTGGATTATGTGAATAGAGGTCAAAGGACAACCTTGTCATGTTCACCTGTCACTTAGTTTGAAACAAGGTCTGTATTGTTTCTGAGCATCCAGGGATTCTCTTGTCTCTGCCTCCTATTTCCCTGTAAGAGCATTGGGATTGCAGATGTTTGAAGTAGGAGTCTGGTTTTAACATGGGTTTTGGGACTTTGAACTCAGATCTTCATCTAGTAAGTGTTTTTACTTATCAAGCCTTCTCAGCCCAGGTTTTGCTTTGTTTTAACTCAAAAAAAAAAAAAAAAAAAGGAGGACTATAATAGCATATATCTATTTATAAACGTGGGAGAACCACATAGTCTCAATAGCAAACAGTGATAAATACTATGTATATATTTGCCTCTTATGTGGAAAGTGGTTCTGGCATCAACGGAATAGTACATATCTGCCAATAAGCAGAAATACTTTTTATGTACTTAGTATAAGAATCACATAGTATCAACAAGTAACAAACAGTGATACAAAAATGTACACTTAGAGACCTATTTGTGACTAAAACGGCTCTAGCTTTCCTCAAAACAGGCTCTCTTTGATCCTTTGAATTTATGTCATGTACATATATTGTCTACTCAAATATAAAACATCGCAAAACAAAAAGAAAAATTTAATAAATGTTCAATAAGCAAAAGATCAGATTTGGTTTTTTTTTTTTTTTTTTTTTTTACTTCAGCAGAATCATTTTCTAATAGAAGTTATGCAAATGCATATGGTGTCCCATCTCGGTGGAATTACAAAGGAAAAGCTAATTCATGGTCCAGCTTGACTCAGGCATCATCTTTGATGTTTCACAAAAATGGCTGATACAAAGGGCCTCCAGGGTCCTCGTGGCTAGCAGAGTGCACAGTCAAATCAGTACTGAAGACCAAGCCTAGGTTAACAGGATTGGGGCAGGATGGAAGATCGAACTCTTGCCTGATTAATGCAGGAAAGCCTGTGTAGAGATGACCGTGAGTTGTGTTTCACCTCTTAGAAGACAGTAAGTACACGGCATGGCAAACAGCAAGCTCTGAGGTGTGAAGAGACTTACATTCAGAA